GGATCTCCTTCCTTAGACAACCTAAGTAATTGGAACAAGTCAGGGAAGAGGTACTGCTGAGTACTTTTCTTCCCCATGCCTGTCATGTCATTATTTCCTGTATCGTCATCACATTTGCTGATTGTCAACAATATTTTGACAGGCGCAAATATATTTGTTATAGACAAGAAAAAAAAAAAAAATTCATTTCATTTCAAATAATAATCTGCTTTTTTATTATTATTTTTTTTTCATTAATTCAATGGTATGACAACACAAGCAATTTATAGTTCATTTCAAATTTCGTTTAGTATTCCATGGTTTATTGTTTGTAGTAACTATTTTGCAGTATTGTGACCATATTGCTCATATTATTTCTTTAATATATCTGTATAATTATATAAATACTTCTGTTATTACTTTGTTTTTGTTATTTTGTTATTGTAATATGTATTTTGGCCAAATGGTATGTTAATTTTTATGTACAAAATTGTTATTCTTAAGGGACTTTGTACTAGAATAAAGTTGATTCTTCTATGCTATTTACTTATTTTATCATACTTACACAGTTGTGAATTTTAATAAATTAACGAAAAAGACGGTCTTCCTACTGCCTAATACGTTCAGCGTGTTTACATCATATAGAACATAATATTCTATTTTAATTTTTTTTTTTATTGTCAGTATTTTCTGATTGTATTCAACCGAGATTCGAACCCGAGGCTAATGGATACAGGACCCTTTTCCTCCACAAGTTGATTCACCATTTAGCCCCGCATGCGCACTTGTGTGGCCATTGTTTTTGCCCGTTTTACCTCAGCCATTAGCAAACAATGAAGACAAAGCACAATGATGCATAGAATTGATAAGAGGCACTTAGACAATTAACTGTCCACTATTTGCTATTTAGATTTAGCAACCTTTACTCCATTGTCGACCGCCTAACTGTACCTCTCCGCTTAGAAAACTATTACTTCTGTATGACTGCAGGATCATGGCCTTCCTAAGATTAATTAAATGCAATGGTAAAATTTTTTTATTTGCCTAAATCAGAATCAGCCAGACAAAAAATTGAGTTGTGTATGGTATATTAAAAACCTAATTTAAAAAAACACACACATATATATGTATATATATATATATATATATATATATATATATATATATATATAGAATAGAAAAATAATTTTATTCTGGGACGAAGTCCCTTCAGAATAACAAAAAAGTACAGAAATTAAAATTTTACATCTGGCCAGATAAAAACAAACATAACAAATTAAGATAAAGATAGGTCATTAAAAAAAGAAAAGAAAAAAATATTGGTTATACATACTATATACAAAATAAAATAAAAAAAATCTATATAAAAAACTCTTGAAACCATACTAAGATACTTAAAACTATGTACAATGTTAAAATATAAATAAACCCTTTTAGAAAAAATAAAAAATACAGAAAAAATAAATGTATATTCTTCTTAACAGTAAAATCTGTTTCTGTTGAAAAAAAAAAAAAAAAAAAAGAAAGTCGAATCTATAATAAGTATTTAGGTTATGAGCTATATGTGAATATGTTCTTATAGATAATATGTAATTTTACATAAAAGGTTAGCTGGTGCCTGACTGTTTTTGGGACAGGAATTGGAATAGGAGGGTTTTGAATGTAGATAAGGATGAAGAATGTCGAATTTTGATAGGAAGGGAATTCCAGAAACTAACAGAACGTGCAATAAAGGAGTTTTGGAACGAGGCAGATCTGTGAGAAGGAATGTAAAGGTCGGAAGGTCGAGATCTTGTGGAGAGGGAGTGGACTGAGGACTTGAATTGGAGAAGGTTGTAGGCGTAGGAAGGACGATGATTGTTGATGATATGATAGAGGAATGTACCTAGGAAATATTGTCTTCGAATGGAGGGGAAGAGCCACTCTAACTCAGTGTAGTGGTGAGAGACATGGTAGTATCTCGGGGCACCAATAATATATATAATATACCCTATTATTCTACAATAGCCAAGCTGTATGACGAACCCCCCAAAAGCAAATAGATTTCAATCTATCTATCTAAAAAAAAAAAAAAAATATGTATATATCATTATATAAATAGGCAAACGCAAAACGGTTCAGCCCCTTTTACTCCACTATTATTCAACCAATTTTCTTGCTTCTTGTTTTTTGCTTAACAGCTATTGACGAACTTTAGTGTTATCAATAAATACAAATATAAAATAATATGTAAATAAAAATATAAATATTTTTTTGTAGTTTGTTCAAGTTTGTTAGTGGTATAGCTTGTTCAAAACAGCTAATCTTCGAAAGTTCTTCAATGATTTCTTTGAAATTTTGACACAACCTCGCAATAATATTTAGAAGTGTTTGTTTGTTTATTCAGGCTTTAAGGCGTAAAACCCTAGGATCATCAACGCCAGTGAGTCGGTTATATTTATAAACTCTATAGAGGAGATAATTAATAATAGATCGAGTAATAAATGAAAAAAAAAATTAAAAACTATATAATATAAAAATATAAAAGATGAAATATATTAAAATAAATATTAAAAAAAGAAAGAACAATAAAATTAAAATGATATTTATTTTTATATTTTATTTAACAGTCTATGTATTTTAAGAAATTGTATCACTGTTTTTATGTTCGTATTTAGAAGTGTTTTGTATACTGTATACCTTTCGAAATTGTTTACAGAGAAGTTCTGCATAAAAATGGATTTAAACTGAATTGAAATTGCTAATTTAAATTTATTTTTTACTTGTTTAAACATAATATTAATTCATTGTGATAATAACACACGTAAATTAAAGTGGAAATTAAATATTTTTGAATGAGTCAATGTTGTTTATATTAATAAATGAGGATGTTTGAATCGTTATTTACTCTTTATTTATTGAATTTATATTTTATTTTATTACATGTTTTCCTCAACTTTGTAATGGCTATGGTCGAATTTCCATTACTGGAGGAACACTAGTTTATTGAAATACTTATGGATAGTTGCAAGTTATTTAAAGTTATTAAACACCATAAGTCGAACACTGGTTTATTGAAACACTTTAAGGAGAGTTGGAAGTTACTTAAAGTTATTAAACACCATTAGTGAATTACGTAATGATGTAGTTAGAACATTTATTAATTTACGTTTGAATAAAATGCAACCTCATTCCATCTAGTGGTACAGATTAATAGACAAAATAATAAATTGCCTTAACCTAATTAGGGTTATAATTCATAAAATATTAAATAAAATAGGTCCAATACCACCATCATAGAATGTAGAATTACATCAGTGAATAGAAACACTTAGTATTGGGAGGGATTAGTTTTATAAGTAGAAGAAAATAAGTACAGTATAAGAAGAAAAAACAAAAATATTTTTATATAACAAACATCATAAATATTTTTATACTCCAAATATTTTTACTATTTATATAATAAATGAGATATCAGAAATGAATAAAAATACATGAATACTAAAGAAAATTTACTATGTAGAACACAACAAAGCAAAACAAATAGTAGATATCTTAGGATAACAACGCACATGTAGAATCGTACAATTAATAATAATATTTTAAAGGCATCCAAATTGTGAATAAATACATGTACGCCCACGGAAATATGAACAGATTCCTGATCTAAAACTGAGGGTTTGTACTTGTATTGATAGAGTCACAAACACTTATAATAAAATAAAATATTTTGTTCAACTGATCAAGATTTTTTATATCCAACACACATTCCATTGATAAATCATCTGTGGCTCTATATGTGTATGTAGGTATTTACTTCTATGTGTCTCCAGAAACAAACACTCCAGCATCAAGTGCTTTAAACCGTTATTGATAAGTTGGAATTGCATCAGTGTATACAATTTATAGTGTTTATCTTATAGATGGCTTGAAAATGGCTTACTAGCCGAAACGTAAGTGATGTAGACTGAAATAAATATGCTAAAGAAATAATAAAACACAGCCTTATTTTATATTATTATTACTATTTCATCGAAAACAAACAGGCACATATGGATTCTTACAATTATTTCCACGTTTGATATTGACGAAGGAAATATTAATTTTTTTTGCGACAAACATCTTGCGGATTCACAAAAAAGTCAATGAAAACCAAAAAACAAAACTACACTATATACGAACAAGGAAGAGTTTTATGATATACTAGTTGGCCCGTGCGAAAAATTCGCAGACAATTTTATTTAGTGGATAAATAGTAAAACAATATGGAAATAAGTATTATGTATTATGTAAGGAGGGAATTAATATTTTTTCCTTAGTCGATTACAATATTCCATTAAACATAATAGACCAAAATATTTATACAAATATCTTTGCTAGGACCTACTTTTAAAGGCTGACTGGAAAGATAATAAAGACAAAATAATGCCCCGATCATAGGATTTTCTAAATTATTAAAAAAATTAAATGTAAGACCAAAGAAATGTCTTTAAGAAATAATAAAGTATATATAAAAGCCTGGAAAAAAAATGTAGTAGACTATTCTATTCCTAAATGCAATATCTTTAAACAGGAAGACATTATTAAGTATACCAAAACTAATGGACTGTATCTTTGTTAATAATAGTCCGATTTTTACAATTTTTTGTTTGTTTTGTAGGCAATTTAGTAATATTTCTAATTATCATAGGTACAATGCACACTTTGAGTTATTCGCAAATAAAGTTTCTTTTCCTCTATTACATTTTTTCTAGAAATTTCGGGGGGAAGGGACTATTTTTCGCATGAGAAGGAGAAGAATATCTTCAAAATGAGTGGTCAATCATTGGATTTTATTAAGAATTTACGAAGTTATGGCGTTCCGACAGAAAAACACCTTTTAGAAATAATATATAGGATAATATTTTATACCGAACAAACCTTGAAATAGCGATCAATAGAAGTAATGAAAGTAAAAATATATGTATTTATACTTAATATATATAACAATACCCCACAACTATCCTTAATTATGATTGAACGTAAATACCGCTATTCGCGTGATGTATTCGCAATCTGCATTTGGTAAAATGTTTTCTAACCACTATCGATAACATTCGTGCTTGTTTATTCAAGATTAGATCTAACTCGACCTACTAGCGGGAACCAAATCAGTAGTTCTTCGCCTGATGCCATCGTCGGTCGCGCTTCTTCTACTCGCTGGGACGATCAGCGGAGAAGAACTCTCCAGCTGCCTCCAGGCGATCGCCCAACAGTACCTCAGGAGCCGATGCCTTTCCTTTCATTTTCCGTTCAACTTCACCGATCCAAGTCTCAACTACGTACCCTCCTTGGTTCAGTCGCCCCTCCTCAAGAACATGCATGAAGACTGGGCGGTTAATCTTCCAGCGATCAGCAGCGAAAGCATAAAATACCCTTTCATACCGCCGGGTCCCTCCTGCTATCTCAATTGTGCACAAATAATAATTTTGGAGGACGATGTGCCATATGTTGAACAAATCGATCAAATAGTATACACTTTCTACACCCAAACTTATCAAGATGGCGGAGGTAATAAAAGCAGAATAGTCGTTACAGTCTCAGCTGAGAGTAACCAAGTCGAAGTCTACCTACTGCTAAAGCACATGTTCATAAAGGGTGATATAGACGTCATATTTGTCGGTAAGATGGACGGGTTCATCAATGTCTTAACATTATTCCCGTACGGAAAGGACAAGGAGAGCTGTCCTGAAGACAACACTGAAGTGGAAACACTAGACCGATGGGTAGACGGTCGTTTCGAAAAACATACTGATCTATTCCCAGATAAAGTTCCGAGAAAATTCAACGATTGTACAATTAACATAGGTACAATGGACGACCCTCCGTATTTCATAACTGATGGACAAGGAAATGGTGTTGGAGGAATAGAATACCAAATCGCGGAGGTGATCGGGCGCCACCTGGGACTCAGGAACCGCTACATGTTCTTCTCCAAGAACGACTCTGTGCTCTGGAGCGAAACGGAAAGACCGCACGGGATGAGGACGGAACTGCGGAAGGGGCAGGTCTGGATGATCATTTCCGGTCACAGCAACTTCATCTTCTCCTTCTCCTGCCTGACCGTACCTCACGCGTACCTCATGAACCGCATCAGTTGGTTCTTCAGCAATCCGAACCAGGTACCCAATTGGAAGTTGATCAGCTTAGCCTTTGACAGGAATTCGTGGATCTTGGTGCTAGTCGCAGCATTGGCGTTCTCTTTAATTTTATTTGCACGAGCAAGATTCCTAAGAAAGCAGCACCCATTTCAAAGGCTCTCAACTTCAATGATGGTCATTTTGGGCCTGATGTTGGCAAACCCTTCAAACATAAATCTTAAAGGAATTTTGTTCAGAATCGCATTCGCTACGTGGTTCTTCTACACCATCCACATCAATCTTGCGTACTCCGCCGGTTTAACCAGTCTCCTAATCACGGGTAAACTTGAACCGAGAGTTACCTCCTTCGAGGGAATCCTGCAACGTAACATCAAAACGGCCATGACAATGAACGTTGTCTTACAAATATCGGGAGTCGAAGAACCTCTGATAAAACAGGTCCTTTCCAATCGCATCCTGGTTGAAGATGTGAGTGAGGTTTTCTCCCAATCAGGAACTTTGGCCATTTTGGAGCGCGAACCCAATTTCCTCTACAAGATTAAAAAATACAACTTATCCTTCTACAGGTCTGAATTGAACTTAGGTTTCGTCTATTTGGGGTTGAAAATGAGAAAAAATAATTTCCTCGTCGACAGGATCGCTGAGCTCTCTTCCAGAGTCCTCGAGAACGGTTCCGTCAACAAGTTCGTTCAGGATTATTGGTCTGTTCCGAACAATTTTCGGAGATCTAGGTCCAAGTCTTTCACCCTGACAGATCTTACAGGACCCTTCATTATATTGGCTGTCGGCTTAGCGATTTCATTTTTGGTATTTCTGTGGGAAATTCTCAACAGGAATGTGATAATATTGATATGACACATTTAAATGAATTAATTTTTATTTTTACATGACACATAGAGTGTGAATGTGATCTCTGAACACTATTGTAAATGTCCTTTGAGACAGATTGTAATATTTTTCAGTAAATAAGTTAAAATAAATTTTTACATGAAATGGTAACGACCAGGAGACTACCAAAATAAAATTAGCCATTTTTTTAAACAATGTAAACTATACAAATCTGTTAAGGTTTAAACACTAAAAGCGAGATGTACATAAATATTATGAATAAATAAGATTATTATTTCATTTTTTCCCTTGAAGCTATTGTGTGTCCATATTATCACTACCACTATTTTTTGTCCATATTATCACTACCACTGTTGTGTGTCCATATTTAAAAAAAAATAAAATTTGTTTAAGACATCAAATACAGGACTTATTAATTAATAAGTAAATAATAAATCCATAAATCGTTGTTATTTCTAACATGCTTTATAAAAAATAAATATGAATTCCAAGAATTGAAATACTCATGGTTAAAAAATATGATAGTATATGGAATTATCCAATAGTATATTTTTTTTATTGATAAGTATTTCAGCTAATTTTTTCTTACTCAATGGGAGGGAGGTATGTCGTCTGTTGAATAATATTATGTTGTTAAGAAGTGTTTCTTTGACTGGCAGAAGTGTAAAGAAACGTATCTATCGCATCGTAATGCATCTAACGGATCGTGAATTTAATATTTTATTCTTAAATGAAGAATATCCAACGTCGAATACTTTATTCTTTGAATATTTTCAATCAAAGCAAATGGAGGAAAAAGATATAATAAAAATTGTTAACTATAAAACAGGCAATGTATAAGAGGCGATGTTGCCCAAAATAGATCTTGGTCTTGCAAGACTGGTATAAAAAAATACCAATACCAAAACTGGTAAAAAAAAATCGTTGTTGTGAATACAAATTAAGGTAAAATAGTTACTAATACTTGACTATTTTAGTTACTATATGTAAAGGTATATGGTACAACCAGTATACTTTTGCATTTAAATCTTCAAATTTTTCAGTCCGGCTTAGTTTTAGAAGGTTTCCGTACCTAAAAAAATACAGTAATATCTGTATATCATTCGGCTAACAGGTAACTGCAAGACGAGTGTTGGTCTTGCATTTGCGCTACACTAACAATAATGTACTAAATAATCATACTAAAAAGACAAATACTAAGAAAATATTATTATAAAAACAAGCAAATAATAATAAATGAAATATTTTTAAGAACAATTCATAATGGAAATGTAGCTGGGTACGTTATGTAAAACAATGAGAAGAATGAAAAAAAAAATAATGAGCCGGAAAAAACCTTTGACTCATATTCTTCCAATTGTCTATTATTTGTTAATTTGTTTTGTTTTGGTTTTGTAAATATTTAGTATCATTTCCGGAGTCCTTTCATTAGAATGCGATCTGAGGAAATATAAACAAACTGTTTTCCCCGCCAAGTTCTAATTTTTTAAATTGTTAGTTAAACTTAATATTAAATTGAAGATTTTTGGCAACAAAAAATTAAATTTTTTTTTTCAATAATTAAACTCTATTTAAAAAATAAATAAATCAATTTTAATTTGCGCATCATATGAAAATTCTAACATCATTACATATTTTTTGATCTTATGATTATAAATAATTTATATTTTTTTGTAAACAGATTTTATTCCTGAGAAACTTTGTCACGAAATAAGATTATTATTCTACTATTCTATTCCATAATTTTAAGTAAGAATTTTGTTATATTTCGCAGTTCATAACTAGTTTTTATTTTATTTTATTGTTTAATTAGTCGGAAAATAAGTAAATAAATACTGACTCCTAAAAACTAAAATGCTCTGAGAATTTAGATTTATTCAAATGTAGTGAATGCTAGATAAATAACGTATTAAGACTTTCCACCACTGATTTGGGGTTTTTGGATCACTGTGCGGCGGTTCACACGGAGTTGAAAAGAAATAAATAATGTCAGAAATTAAAAACGAAGCTGGACAATAATTTCAAAAACGAACTGCTCCCAGAATCGATACAAAAGTGAAAACCTCTCCAATCATTGGACTGGAATACAATCGATTGGAAATCTCGATAATTATCATCCATTTACAAATAGCCATTTATTTGCAAAAATGGGACAATGGGGCAAGCCCCCTCCACTCTTCACTATACAATCTCCAACAGATTAGCGAGGTTTCGAAAACAGTCCAGTTTAGCTTTTGTTTCGACTTCGAAACGAACTCATTCTAAAATAGTCTGTCGTGTTCCTTGCGACATGGATTTACGTAAACCAGCCGCTTTCCCTTCAAAGCCCTCGCAAAAACCTTTTACCTGTCGTTTTGGAGGATATTAAACCGATTGGGATCGAACTGAATTCAAAGAGATTGCACTATTAAACTTTTTTAGTTAAAAAAAAATCAATTTATGTAGGAACTTTATAAATGCACTTACTTTACAACATGCACCCCCCCCCCATATTTTGAACAATAAATATTGAAAATAAGCTGACAGGTTGTTGAAATTATCGGTGGAATAACGGCATTATGGGAATGATGTAAAATAGCATCGATTATAACCACAACGGTGACATATGTATAGTTGAGAAGATTACGAGAGAGTTGTTATAGTCTGTGGTACAGATCTCTTTTTACTGAATTATTGACATCCGCCTGAAACTTTGTAAATAGCGTCATCTCATCTTTATCTCATATTTTATATTCGAAAACTCTTGGAATTGGGACGTTTGCAATCTGAAGGGAGACAAACTTTGTCTATTTAATTAGGTACTAAAAACTCGTAAATACACATTTGCTTTCTACTTACCGTGAACTAGATCCCCAAATTTTCAAAATAACGAAATTAAATAGGACGAACGGCCCAATATTTTTGTAGGCCACCATTATTCTCGGGAAAACTGGTTAGCTTTTAATGAGTAGGCTGTAATGTAAATTTTATTCATTTATTTTTATTTGTGAAGTTCATATATTGTATTATATGATAATATAATATCATACTGTTTGGTTGTTTGTTTCAATGTCAAGGCGCAAAACATCCAAGCCATTAGCGCCTGAACAATTAAACAATACTACTTACTTTTATACTGTTTAGGTGGTTGGTACAAAAAATAAAAATAAAAACAGGATACAAATAAAAAAAAAATAAAAGATTAATGACACTTATAAATATTAAGATGGAGTAGATAAATAAATAAAATTTTAAAACTAAAAAAAATCTGCAAAAGATCGTTACTTATAAACTTCCTTACTTAATTACTTATAAATTTCCTGGGTATGCTGATATATTGTGGGGTATTCCGAGATCTTTTGACGTTGCGGTGTAAAAAGAGCACTATTCCAAAACACATTGTATGGTAAATGACTGGTCACACTTTTGACATCTGGGGATAACATCTTTTGTTATAAGGTGGAGGTGTATCAGTCTAGTATGTCTATCCTCTATAGTATGTCCTATTTTGTTTTTGTATCAATATATAGTACGAATGACTTTAGCACTAATACATATTGACCTTGGGTGTTGCGAAATGTATTATTATTCTATATACAAATATTTTTTTATAAAAATCATTATTTACTTAAAACACAACCTTGTTTGTGACTAAATATTTGTGTTAGCGGATGTGGGGAAAACAACGCGAACTAGTGTTACAAAACGAAAAATTAGGTAGCTGCAGGGCTGTTGCGTGGGTAGGGCTCTGTCCAAGGTGCCAAGAATTATGAACAAAAATATAAAAATTCAGAATGCTTCTGAAAAGTGTAAAAATCATACAAGACTAGCGAAATAATTATTTCTATTTTCAGTTCCACTTGCTGTTAAATAAATTACAAGCTGACTAGAGACTTATCAGAAGTGCAAAAATATAGTAAAGTACAATAAATATAACCCGTAAACATGAGACAATGTACAACTAGCCGAGTTCGAAGGACGTAATGGGAGGGCGCCTGATATCATTTCGCTTCGGGCGCCAAAACTTAGGCGACGGCCCGGAGTACTTGCGAGAATTTTCAAATTGTTTTAGTAGTTAAAGAGGAGATTATAATAGTCCTTGGTACAGACCTCTTCTTATCAAATTATTAACATCCACCAGAAACTTTGTGAACAGCTTCATCTCATCTTAACCCATAACTAATTATTAAATAACCTATAACCTGTTATTTACGAAAACGCTTGGTATTGGGTCAATATAAGAAATATAATTCTAAACTGAGATAATTGGTCGCTGAAGGAAGAAGACGTCATCAAGAATTATAATAAGGAGATGCGAAAATTTTATGTTGAAGTTAATCTTCAACTCCTCGAAGAAGCCTGACTAATTATTATTAACCCTCATTTTGTTATAGTTATCCTTTCATTTATTTATTGTAATCTTTTTGTATTGTCTTCTCTATATCTATTTTAGTTTGTTTTTATTTTTTCTCATTTGTTCAATTAAGAAAGTTATGAAGTTTACCATAGCCGTGTAATTTAAAAATTTATAAGTTACATGTATTTTTATTAAATACATATATGCATTATGCTTAATGTATGGAACATGTAAAATTTAACAAATAAACGATCCATAAGGGCCCTGTATAAACAGGGTTACTATATGAAGGAAGCAGATAAAAAAATGTGACTAAACACTCGTAATACACAATTTTTTCCCCACTTCGATCGTAAGTTAATTTGATAAAAAATGCGAGAAAAAAGGTGGCCTACAAAAATATTGGTCCGTTTGGCCTAAATAAACCTCGTTATTTTGACAATTTGGTGGTGTAGATCACTCCAAACGGCTCAATATTTTTGAAGGCGCCCTTTTTTTCCCTAGTTTGTGCCAAGTTATCTTACGATTCAAGTGGAAAGTAAATGA